CGGAATGATCATGGAACAGAGACAGGTGTTGCTTGTGCTTGAAGCCAAAACGAAGAACGATGAGAGCGAGGCAGTTTTCGACAGTGCTCGACTTGCTTTTGAAGATGTTGTTTGATTCAAAGTTACCAGTGAAGAAGCCTACTAATGTTCTTATGTTTCCCCTCAAGCACTAAACAACGTATTGTGTCGTTTATCTACATTTTAACTTGGGATAAAGAGGTGAATGATAAAGTGTGAGTATATAATTAACAAATAGACAAATTAAATAATGATTAGAAGAAATAGATAAAGGATACCTAAATAAAAAATTGTATCACAAAAATACATCAATTGCCACTCCTGCACGTAGGCATACCATAAATGAGAGCAAACATGATCTTAATATGTCTACGTACGCAGAAAACGTGTTAACTTTAATGATATATTGTATTATGTCTAACTTACATTATGAAGTTGACACAATATGGAAAAACACTAAATCAAATATCTTCATTATATGGATTTATTTTTAGAATCTGGTCTTCATCATTTTACAAAATCAAAGGATTCTCATTCAAGTCTAAAGAGAAATTAATGCCAAAAAAACTTTTATTTGATTTAGCTTATTGTTCTCTTTTTATTTAAATGTATATAATTTAATTTGAATGTAATTTACTATAAATATTATTTGTAAAAGGCTATAAACCATGTATTCTCATTTGTAAAATATATAGAAATTTTTGGAAATTAAAAGAGATTTTTCTCTAAAGTTTTGGCTTTATTTTTGTTTATCTATACAAGATAGAATTCTTCACTTAGTAAACATTTGAATTTATGTCTTTTATGTGTGATGCCTTGAGACTAGGTTTGTGAATTCATCACATGGGTTTTCACACCCTTGAGTGGCGTTCTTCGATCCACCTATCTATTCATCTCATACACTGATCCAGCCTGAAAGAGACTTGAGTCCAGCATGACAGATCCCATAACCATCCACTTCGGTCATCTCTTGAGCAAGTAGAAAGAGACTTCAGTCCAGCTGCTTGCTTCCACCCATTCACCCAAGCATTATAAGATCATACCTCGTTGATCTGATATCAGAAGTACTATATATCTATATTATTTTATGCATATGTAAATTTTATAGTGGAAGACTATATATTGGTATGTGAACATCTTATATTGTATTATACATATCTATATTAATTTATACATGTATAAATCTTACCATGAAAGACTACATATTATTATGTAAACATCTTATATATGTAGATATCTAATTAAATATATATGTATATATTCGTATTTATAAAGTGTTATTAAGTTACAAAATATGTATATATATATATATAGATGTCTAATATGATATGTATGTATATATATATATATTTATTTATTTATTTATAGAATAATACTTAGTTTTGAAATAATTATTTATATATAGATGCCTAATAATATATATTTGTTTTCTATTTGTAGAGTGTTATTGAATTATGAAATAGTTAAGGGAATCCGAACCAAAAACTTTAAATTTGAGATATTGATGTACTGTGGTGGACTAGAGATGGAAAAAAAAAGTTAATCCCAAAAATTTGATGATCTTGTTGTTGTTTATAATCTGGTAAAAGAATTAAAGAAAAATTAAAGAAGAGAAAATGATTATTAATTATTTTCATGGTTTTATCAAAAGAGAAAAAAAATGTAAGAGAGTGAAGGTAGAGTAGAAAAAAAAGGTGGTTAATTAGTTTTATATTTGAAAATAAAATGGATCTTGTTATTTTCTCAAATTACTATCAGTCCTTTGCTATTTAGTGGTATTTCTCTTTTATTTTTAGTGTGATTTGAAGCCCATTGTTTAGCCTTTATCAAAACATCTAAACTGAACCGAATTAAATTTAAATTAATACTGATATGTAAGAATAAAACCGAACCCAACCAAACCTAACTAAATAAATTTAACAGTTTAGATAAAAAAAATAGAGTAGTTGCATTATATGGCCGCAAATGCAAGCAAAATTAGGTCCAAACTTCAGCTTCGAAGTCACTGTTTATATGGAATTTTTGGGACCAAAATGTCTCTACAACGGCATAGCCGTCCCTATCGAATATATATAATTACAGGTGGACCACACACCTGAAAAACCGACAGCTATATCCAACAGGCGGATTTTGGTGTTCTCTACACACTAACTATTAATTACTGTCCACACCGAAAAGTGACTTTGTTTTGGACGTTGAGGAGTCTTTAGAACTTGCTAATCTCTCCCTCAAAATATCTACATTCTATTTTGATATTGTTAGACAGAGCATCCACCTGATGTTACCGAGCGAGAAATCCACAGCCCCCTCGGAGATGGTAAGTATAAGCTCAGATACTTAGCATGGATCTTTTTCCCAATTTCAATTGATCCAATGTCTATATTTCACTCCTCAGGGAGCAGCAGCACCAGACCTCCCGCCTCGAATGATAGCTGCCGGCCATAAACCCTTCAGCCATTGGGTGAATGTTTATCAGAAATATGGCCTTGTCGAACAAATTAGAGTTTCCCCGATGCAGCGGAATGAGAATATATCCGGACTTCCCCACTCGGACAACTCCTCGACATCCCCGGTAAACCGGCATGGTCTGGCGGTTTCAGATTGTTCCTCATGTCGCGGCAGTTGCAAGTGGCCCGCGATAACAAGATCTAGATACTGTTTGCAGGCTCGCCGATACGATTTTCTCTCAGAGAGTTTAAATTAGTAATTGGGTTGCGGTGTGGCAAATACCCGATAAAAGATAAAAAGCGCAGAGCAGCTAAGTCCATGGCAAATGAGACTTTCTATGAGAAACCGTTCGGCGGGGAGAAAAACGTAACCGTTGAGGGACTAGTTTCTATTTTGAGGAGAAGAACGGATGGAGACCGGGAAAAGCGCATGCGATATGCTTGCCTTGCTTTGGTGGATGGTATATTGCTACCAGCAACTCATTATCATAAGATGAAAGTGGTTAGAGAGCACGCTGAAATGGTTGAGGATTTGGAGGATTTCATATCTTTTCCCTGGGGCAGACTGTCATTCGACCGAATGATGAATTTTATAAAAGAGAGGGACCTTGCTCAACTAGCAACCGCCGATGTTTCCGTGTAAGGTCTCTTTGTCGCGTTGCAATATGTGGTTCTCAAAGCAGTTCCAGCCATCATCGGGTCACACCGGCCAGACGGAGACGATGAGGATTTCTGCGAAACAGTTGCGAACCCACAACAGCTCAAACTCAGCCAAGTTAGAGAACTCGATGAATCATCCGATGTGGGTAATTTTGTATTTTTTAATTATGTTAGTGTAGTTTGTTGCCGTTCGAAGTAACGATAATGCACCGTTAACGTTTACTAACCCACACATCTATGGTTGTCGTTGCAATTCCTAGGTGGAGGTTCTCTCAATCATCCGGCCAGATGTCGTGTTGGACAATTTGTCGTGGTCCGACGATGAGGAAGATTCTCAGGTCAAGAATATGGTACGTCTTATTAAAGAAGGGTTCAAGTTCGACAGAAAATGTTCGTTGGAGGGCGGAAACCAGCGGAGTTGTTCGGACAACCCACGATCGTTTTAGAAGCGGTAGCTTCATATGATCTCTGGATATGGCACGCGTGTTTTGGACCTCCAGATACCTTAAACGATATCAATGTTCTTGATCGCTCACCTATTTTTGATGATATAATAAAAGATCAAGCTTTGCAAGTGAATTTCTCTGTCAACGGAAGGGGGTATCATTTGGCTTACTATCTCATAGATGATATTTATCTGAAACGGGTAACTTTTATCCAATCTATTCCAATTTCACAAGGCCCGAAAGCATTTCTATCTGCTCAATATCAAGAAGCTACCCGAAAAGATGTCGAGCGTGCTTTTGGAGTCTTGCGGGCTCGATTTGCCATTGTTAAAAACCCAACTTTTTTTGGGATAAAGCAAAGATAGGAAAGATTTTGAGAACATGTATCATACTCCACAATATGATAGTAGAAAACGAACAAGATGGATACATTCAGTTTGATGTATTAGAATTCCAACAAGGAGAAGGAAATAGAAGTTCACATGTAGATCTCATGTATTCTACAGATATGCACACAAATCTCGCCAATATATTGTGTGTTCGAACTAGGGTTCTTGATAGACAAGTGCATCAACAGTTGAAAGTTGATTTGGTTGAGCATATATAACAAAAAATTGTATGTGGTCAAGATAACAATTAAGCATTCATTTCCGTTTATTATTTCGAAATATATGTTTAATATGTTTTTATGTCAAATATGTTTCAAATTTCATTCAATGCAATATATTTTATGTTTTATTCAAAAAATAAATTCTATTTACAATAAAAAAAAATTATTATTTAAAAAAAAACCTAATAGAATTCTGCTTTGGAGCAGAGAAAACAAAATTATTTTAACAAAGATTTTTAAAACATATTTTATAATTAAATATTAAGTAAGAATCCCCCCCCATAAGATTTTTGCATTGAACATGTTTTAAGTCTCTTGGCGAAAGATCTCTTAATAAATTTCTTCAAAGGCAGATTTAGCTCAAGTTGATTTTCGATCCAAGGTCATTTTCCACTCCTTGTTCTAGGGGATTTTTAAGGTTTTAAAACTAATTCATTTCGATTATATGGTGGTTGAAATTTCGGTTTGCTTCACATTTATTAATTAAGGGGTTAGTGAAACTTTGAAATACAATTTTAATTCAGCGTTTCTGTAATTTCTGCTTATTCTTGGTTTTGGTGGACTGTGTTCATATTTATGCAAAATCTTTTGGGTTATATATTTTTATATATAATGCTAATGAATTCGATTTATTTAGTTAGGTTTGGTTGGGTTCGGTTTTATTGTTACATTTCGGTACTAATTTAAATTTAATTCAGTTCGTTTATGGTGTTTTGAAAAAGGCTGAACAAGTGCTTAAGAAGGTTCAAATCACACCAAAATTATAATGTAGATAAACGACACAGTACATTATTTAGTGCTTGAGGGGATTCCTAAGAATCAAACAACATCCTCGAAAGCAAGTCGAGCATCTCTTAGGTCCTCCTCTGCGAGCTCCTGAGGAGCTAAGCAAATTATATCGATGAGCTCGAGGAGGTTGTTTATGTAGGCATTTTTCACCAATTGGTTCTTTGGACGAAAATTCAACGCGGTTTCTGGATGTCTTTCAAAGATTCTCCTCACACAATTCACCTGTGAACCAAATTTGTTGTAAAAAAATCACAAAATCAAAGATATCATTAATGTTAAAATGAAGAAATAGTTTTGCTTACCTTTGAATAAAAAACTCGAAAGTCATTGATGTCTACTATTCCATCGCCGTTCCACATTGGTACAATCTGAATTTCTAGTGATAGAGAGAAGCTTTGCTCGCACATTCGGGATCGGGAAAAGAAGTTTTGTGTTTTGAGTATTTTTCTTCTGTAACTGAAATTTATATATATCAAAGAAGATGCATGCACCTCAATTAAACGTGGTGGTACCATATAGTATACTGTTCAACTTGGCTCGAGATGTTGGTGTGGACTGGGACATTGACTATTTACTCAAGATCGGTCTGACCATCGATCTTCCTGTTGTTGGGAATATTACTATCCCTATTACTAGCAAGGGCGAAATCAAACTCCCTACTTTTAAAGATTTCTTCTGATCTACTTAACCTATGAAATCAAGTTAACCAACGAATATCGTTTGTAATGGTGATGTAATAAACGGGTTTGCTTATAATCAATAAATTTTATTTTGTCATATTATAAAAAAAAAAACTTTTTCTAGTTTTTTCTTTTTGTGTATCTTTTGTTGGTTTGATTAGTCCTATAAACGTTGACAGCTAAATGGTTGACAGATCTTACTCAATTTGGGTTGGACTGATTAATCGAAATTTAATTCATGAAATGCGGAAGTCTCATCCATGACTAGGAGAAGTCTACCATTTTTTTTGCAAGATTTTCGAATATTATCAACTTTACAGAATATTATATATCATCTCAAAAATAGCTTAATACGAGGTTCATTATCAGCTGGTCCAGCTCCCAACTTCAGATCTAATTACTGAGAAGTCCACAAACCAAAATATAGATGATCATAAAGATAGTTGTGAAAAAATTTATAGACATTTTTTCTTATCTTTCTACATCTTACTGTTGCTGGTGGTAAGAAGACGCCTACTGTCCTAGCCCCATACTTGGTGGTAAGAACGATATCTGATTTCCCTATTCATTCATTATACTATACGAGATTGACTCAGTTGACTAAGAATTTTTTTTTATTTATTCGTTAAATGGAGGATGAGCAAGAATCTACCATGCGAGAATGTAATGAGCAGCGTCCTCATAATACTCCAAATTGCAGCGATCTTGTATATAACACACCACGAGATTCCATGAACCGCATATCAAACATCTTTGACGACTTGCATAATGTTTCACTTCATATCTGGCGTAATGAGTTGCTACTTGCTTGGGTTGATCCATCGCAATGTCGAAGCTTATAACATGTACATCTTTGGGCGTATCGTCACACCTTCGGCTTGGCTATTCTCCTTCACCTCCTCTGTTCTATCTCTCCAAGTTCAGCTCTATTGTTCAGTATACCTTGTTAGTTATGGGTCGCAGCCGCTTGTATTGTTCCTCTTTTCGAATTTGAAAATCAGTGGGAGTTTGTGTATCAACCACAAGTGTGTTGAAAACTTAGTATTATATTTGAGTTGGAACTCCAGAGTCCAGAGACATATCATTGATTAATGATTCAATTCGATTCGTTTCACAAAAAAAACTGATTCGTGTTGCGACAGTTCGGTTACTATCATTCACAAGTACTATTTGTACGTTGTGCAGACTTATTTATTAATTTAATTAAAATTTTATATATTTATATTAATATTATATATTTATTAAATTAATATTATTGTGTGTTATATATGTCTTTTATTTTTTAAATATTTTTGTTATCTTAATATAAATATATATCTATATTGCAAATTATTATTTTTTAATATAGATTATAATATATTAATTGTTAAAAAAATATTTCATATATTTATATACTGTAATAAGTATTATATGTATTCTTACTGTTTATTTGTATTAAATTTATTTCTCATCTTTTTCTACATCTTATTTTCATAGATCAACAATGTGAAATCATCATCGATGCTTCTCCATTGTAAACTAAATGTTCTCTTAATTTTATATCGATTTTTAAAAAATCTAACTCATTTTCAAGCACAATTAGTCTTTTATTTGTTTTTCCTTTCTTATAGCTCTTAGTCTCACTATTCTGAGTGCAATTTACTGGTTTTTTCTCTTATTTCATGCAAGCTTCCATCTTATTCAGTCTTGTGATCTGTTATAACTCTAAATGAAGAGAATTTTAGTTAGAACTGGAGAGACAGAGCAAAAGATCTGTTCAAATATTACATATGTTTGATGGGTTTTCATATCAAAAAATTACGCGTACTTGATAAATTATTGATTTTACTTGATTTGAGGCAATTTCTTTTTTCAGTGATGAATCTTACTATATTTGTGAATGTATGTGAGGATATTTTTTGTCTATTTTCATATTATGTGAATGTAAACAATATGACTATGTTAAAAAGTATAATCAATAATCTTGTTTTAGTTTAATTATATATTTGGATTAAAACTCATATATTATCTGACTGATGAGTAAAGTGATCGCATATCAATTTTATATTACCATCATTGAGAATAAATGGTTGATAAGTATTTGCAATGTTTTTCCTCCTTCGTATAAATCAAATTCATTTTTATGCTATATAATTAAACACTTTATTTATGAAAAATTTTCATTTATTTTACACAGTAAAATGGATATGAATGATATTACTTTAGTTTTAAGCATTAATATTTTGAGCATTTTTAAATAAGTTTGATAACTATTCTTAGCTAGTTCTCCTATTATCGTTCGTAATTGTTCACTTTCCAACTATTTTTTCAAATTCTGTTTGTTTATATTCAAAATAACTTTTTGAATTTTTTATTTCAAATAGAACTTTTAGTTTTTATAGTTGGTAAAATAAGTATTTGTTTTATATATATAATTTTACTTTAGCTTTATAGATAAATCTTTCTAAGGTTTTTTTAAACTTTGATCATTATTTTCTGTAATGTTTTCCGTAATCTTTTGTATATGGTTGCCTTCCAAACTCTTTTAACAAATGAAGAATTTGTAATTTTATAATTTTATAATTTGTAAAATATGTATTTTTTTAATTTTAAATTAATCATATTAAAAGCCCAACAATAAATACCCAAAATATATAAATTTAAAAACAAAACCCAAAATATTTAAGAGCTCATTTAAAATTAAAAATATGCTGATGTGGACACCTTAGATGGAGAGATAACTTGCTCATTATATATACTAAGTATATAACTCGCGCTACGCGCGAGTCTGTATTAATATTTTGGTTTATGTTTTTTAGCTACTATCTTTAAAATTATTAAAAATTATATATATTTATAGAAATTTTCATTTATATAAGAGAATTTAATATATAATATGTAATTTATCCTATTTTATTTTTAAATTTTTAAAAAATATTATGTAAAATAATAATAATGACACATATCGAATTATCCAACTTTGACGTACATATACATTTGATTTAGAGAAATATAATTTTGCTAAGGTTTTGGTATTATTTTCAGTTTTCCATAGAATTTCTATAGTTTTTTTTTCTTGAAGGTTTATGTGGTCAAATATTTTTTTTTATTAAAAGTCTTATTGATATTGTGTACCACTGTATATATAAATTATGATTCATGTTGATTCGTATTTAATTTTGTTAGGAAGCTGTAATGATCATGCAAAACCATTTTTTCCTTCTCCATCATGTTTTCCAAGAGTTTTATGTTATATTTTTATTCAGTTTTCATTGTTTTATTTGTTAAATCGAGTTGTTGTAAAAAATTTTAAATTAATAATTGATAATATTTACTTTTTTTATACATGTATTGTTAATTGTTAATTTTTTAATTTAACTTTTAAATTTTTAAACCATATTAACATTTTCTGATTTAATAAATATGTTGATTTGAATCAATCAGATTGAATTTATTTTTTTTGTTGGACATAATTTGTTAAATTAACTTTTAATGTTTTAATTATACTTAATATTTTTTTGGTTTGATTTAAAAGCTGATGTGGACCAATTAAATCAAGTTTTTCCGTCCTAATCATATTTAACATTTTTTATTTAATGAATATGCTGATGTGAATCAATCAAATCGAGTTTTTTAATTTCATGTGGACGTCCTATACCTTCAACTTTTATATATTATATGATGATTCAACAAACAAAGTAAAATCACTTGCAAGTCAAGCCATCGTTGGCATGCTTCTCGGTCGTGCCGTCACAATGAAAAATATATATTTTATTACAACAATAAGATAAAGACCTGTCAGATTGATGACTCTTGGATCAAAAGGAAAGGAAAAAATAAGTTCTATTTATTAAATAAACCATGAACAAAACGTCAGCCGCGGAGCAGCGTCAGGCGAAAGCCGGTGGGAAGAGAACCGACAGGAGGATCAGAACCCGTGGTACAGAGACTACCGACGTGTGGGAGAGAGCCGGCGGATGGGAGAGAGCCGATCGGACGAGAGCCGGCAGGTGGGAGAGAGCCGATCGGACGAGAGCCGGCAGGTGGGAGAGAGCCTGTGGGAAGAGAACCGGCGGGTAGGAGAGAGCCGGTGGGAAGAGAACCGGGCGGGTGGGAGAGAGCCTGTGGGAAGAGAACCGGCGGGTGGGAGAGAGCCGGTGGGACGAGAGCCGGCAGGTGGGAGAGAGCCGGTGGGAAGAGAGCCTGTGGGAAAAGAGCCTGTGGGAAAAGAGCTTGTGGGAAGAGAGCCTGTGGGACGAGAGCCTGTGGGAAGAGAGCCTGCGGGACGAGAGCCGTAGGGAACCATTGCAGTGATGACAGGGGAAGAGAAACGTTTGCGTTGAAACTGTATCGAAGAGCAATTATCACAGCAGAACGTGAGACTTTTTAAAATACATAAGTACGTGCTGTGCTTCTATTATATAGCAGGTAAAAGTACATCCATTTGAAATAGGAAAAGGTTTCATAATTTGAATAAAAATAGGAGCTAGCTATGTTAATTAGCATAAGAGAAAAAAACACACAATTGTACTATCAAATCTTTGTGAATATATAAATGTGTATTACCATAATATTAAAGAGTAAACAATCATGACTAATAGGGGTCAGTTTTCTCTGCAGAACTATACAAAATGGTAAATTTTGAACACGCTTTTGACATTGTTTTTTTTCTTTCTAAAACATTCTTTTGACATTTGTTGGGTAGTGGTTAACAAAATAATTATTAGGTTTTTTTTTTTGGGTGCCAT